TTTCCCATAAAATGACGCGAAATAGGTGAAAAATTCCTCCAAATATGCACCAAAACCGCCGAGCGCGCGTACGCGGTCGAGTAGTTGGGAAAGGTCGGGAGTTTAGGTTTTATAGGCACAAAAAACTTAAAAAATGCGTTTTTTGCATAAAAATGTTTATAAAAAATTAATCAATTGTAAATTGGAGTAGGAAGTATATAAACATATATCTACAGACTGTCTTTTATATGATGGCACAGTCCGTTTGCTACTAGTATTTTTGTCACAAACAAAACCTGCATTGACTGGCCTAGTTAGGTATCTTCCTAAAACAGAATAGTTAGATCAACAGACTAAACTACATTTGTTTCAACAGTACTCGAGTACTAGCTTGAAACTGCCAATTTCCAAACAGTGCTTGACTACTATTGAAATATAACTATCATGTGTAATATTTAAAATCCAAATCTATATATTAATACATAAATATTGGTAAAAACTGACCAGAAATAACCTGTTTTACACATAAAAAGGCACATAAAAATCTCGATTTTCATCATTCAGATTTAGTGTTGGACACAGGAGCATGTAATTGAATTTTTAAAAATAGTTTTTCATGTTAATATTTCTTTATTTCTAAACAACACCTTAACAAGTTCCCCAAACAAGTAATGGAAATATGGGAAATTGTTTCATTTAATTTAATAAAAAAAAAAGTAATACAACCCCTTTACCAAGTAAAAATTATTTACTTACATTTTTCCATGAAGTTTTGAATTCTATATGAAAACTGCTTCTGGATATTTTTTGTGATACAGTTCCATAGCAAAAAATTTTTTTTATTTTGCATTAGGGAACAAGCAATCGAGGTAGAAAATGTGGAACTAATTTCTTGTTTGAAATAATATTTTAAAAATCGAGTTAGAGAAAATCCGAACAATATTTTATTTAAACCTTACCATTATGATTTTAAGTAGAAGGCATTTTTGGAAAAATGTTCAAATGAAAAATACTATTTATTTTTCAACTCTCGGGCACAGCATTAAACCTGACATCGTATAGAAAAGCATTTTATATGTACCTTTTTTCATAAAATTAATAAATGTTGAACATTGGATTAGTCATTTTTTTTATTTATGCAATATTTTATATTATATATATATTTATTAAAAATCTAAAACCTCCACCACGTGTGGTTATAATTGCATTGGGTTCTTTCAGATTTTAAATAAGATTTAAAATGCAATTTTAAATATGTTTAATGAAAAACACCACACATAAATGGTTTATGTGTGTAACTATGATTACATTTAACATGTCCTTTTCATTAGGTAATACAATATACAGGGTCGGAAAGTCCCCATGGTTCATCAGCCGTTACATGAGAGCGATAAAGAAAGTCATAGAAATCCGTGCGATAGAGAAAGATGGCTTTAATGAAGGCGTCTAATAGTCACCGCTCATTTCGCCCTTCCACAAATAAAATCCACTTCTTATTTGTGGAAGGGCGAAATGGGCGGTGACTATTAGACGCCTTCATTATAGCCATCTTTCTCGATCGCACGGATTTCTATGACTTACTTTATCGCTCTCACGTAATGGCCAATGAACCATGGGGACTTTCCGACCCTGTATTTATTTGATAATTATATACTGTCCCTCTTCCTATAAAAATCTTGACCTTTGCATAAGTTTTTGCAGTTAGAGTGGAATGTAGTAAAACTATTATCACTGTTACAAAGAGGGCAATTTTCAAATTCATCGCGAAAAAGTTCTGTGGGTTATTGCACTGAATAAAAAATTACATCACTAATGAGGTTGATGGAATGCCGATTTGTTTAAAAAAATGCTCCAACTATTTTTGGATTTTTTTCTAGCCCCACTATTTTGATAAATAATATAAAACTGCTTTATCTGTGGGTGTGCGTGGATGAGTGGCCGTAAAAAACGTTTTTGGCACAATTCATAGCAAAAACTTTTAAAATGGGCTAGAGATGTGCCACGGACATGTCACCTGGACATGTCCATCGGACATATCGTGAAAAGTGGACATGTCCTGAGGACACTTTTCAAGATTGAAAAATTGTATGCGCTTGTACGGAATTATTTGTTGCATTCATAATTCCCGCAAAAAATTTTTGAGGTTGGTACATGTAAAATTAAAGATATTTAGCCATTCTTGTAATTTTGTTGTTAATTGTTTAACTGAAACTGACATTTTAAAAATATAATATTTATTTTTTATATGTCCATATTTTATTATTTTTGGCAAAGTTAACGATTAGTAAATAGTAATCAGTTGATTCTTAATTTAATATTGAATACACAAATAGTTTATAAATGAAGTATGACGCCAAAATCAACAGTTTGGTTATATTTTTCTGAATTGAGTAAAAATCATTATAAATGTAACTTCTGCTCTAAAACAATTTTTAAGAATTCCAGTAGGAAAAAAAAACGTTTAAATAAGTATATTGGCTGTCCAGGGAAAATTAGAAACGAGTTTATAAAAAAGTCTAAAGGTAGGTAATAAGCAAAATATATCGACACATATTCATTAGAATAAAAATAATATTTTGCTCTGTGTACCCTCAAGCAGTGACCTGTGAAAATATGACGTCACTCATAGGTGCCTTATTAAATTCAAGGTCAAAAGTATTTTTCCCAACATGTTCGACATTTCATCGACATGTCCAATGGACATGTCCGTTGGACACTTTTCCGAAAAGTGCCTATCTCTAAAATGGGCACACCAACATGAACATTGGACGTTAGAATAATAGAAAGCAGTTCTGCGGACAGACGAATCAAAATTTAAAATTTTTGGTTCTAATAAACGAGTATTTGTTTGCCGTAAAGCCCACGAGATTGACTGAAGATTGTCTATTGCTCACAATGGTGATAACATGTTACTTTGGGGCTGCAACAACTGACAGACATCTAGTTAAAATCAATGATAAACGAAAATTATTTACAAATTTTGCAGAACCATGCTTTACCATCAGGAATAAGTATTGTAGAAGAACCATTCGTGTTTCAACAAGATAGTGACCCAAAACACACAACAAGCATATGCAAAGCCTTTTTAGAAGAGAAAGAAAGCAATATTTTGGAATCGATGCTGCGGTCCGAATAAGCGCCGGTCCTATTGCCGATCGAAAAATTACGAGATGAATTGGATTGAATAGTCAAAGCACGTTTGCCACACAGTACTAGAGCTGTGGCAATATTTACAAGAAGCTTGGAATGAAATTGAGGAGTTTCTTGAAAAAGTTACTCCAGAGAATGCCCAGAATTTGCAGCCTGTTATGCTAAAGGTGGCCACTTCGAAAATATAAACGCCATATCTTATTTAATAACTGATGTTTTTATTTTGTAATTTAAATGTTCTAACTTATTCAATAAAGTATTTTCATAAATTGCCATTCTATTTTAAAATAATTGCAGAATAAATTCAATATTTCCACTGCTTCCAATCTTTTCAATGGTAGTGTATGTACCGTAATACCTTCCTTTGTTAGTGTAAAATGATTTTTAAAATCGTTGGGTTCATATTTTTCTGCAAACTTCCCACAAAATTTTGATTTTTAACACAATGTTGACAAGTGAACCACATCATAACCTCAACTGATTCACATTTAACTGCTTCCATCCGTCACCAAGCCCGATATACTTGATAAGCATTTAATTGAGAATGGAAATGTACATTTTATAAAAACCGTTCTATGGAATTCAGCGAATGACCAGGTGTGTGAGTACACATGCTGCAAGTGAGCCTTTTTAAGTATTACACCACCCGGACCGGTCTAACAATTGCAAGGACAAAAAACAGACAGATGCGGGACGCAACAGAGTTGCAGAAAAGATACACCTCAGATTGGCGCCAAGGACCAGATACCTACAAACGACTCCACACCACAAAGACTCTCCAGCGAACGCTCGCCCCGACAACACATATTCTTTTTCACTAACTTGTTTTCAATAAAAATACTTTTATTTTACCATTGAGAGTTTTATTTTGCTGCACACCCAAAGCAACCCTCAGCCCATTTTCTACTGATGAGTTTAAAATCACACCTATACAGTGCTCATTTGACAGTAATTACACAAAAAATAAAAAATTTCAAAATTAAAGACAATCCATCTTCCAAGACATTATTAACAATTTAGAATAGAACATTTTCATTGTGTACTAGGTAATATTTTCTAATCAGTTTCTAATGATCAACTCCGCTCAATAAAACAATAAAATTGCATAACACTTAATAATTAGTTCTCGTATTCATAAAGTACGAACTATTCTCACAACATGTTAACACTTATTTAATAGACATTGGTTAAACCTAGCTATACCATAAAATCTGAATTTTTATAAAAATATCATACAAATTATCGCGAACATGTCGCACAAAGGCTTTTTCCCAAGACACTAGGTAGTGATATGAGGGCAAGACTGAATACTCAGTACCAATAAATAATTTAGTCAGAACAGACCAATTGTTTACAAAATGGCAGAGCAGTGCAGGTCTCAATTTAAGTTTCTCCAAGTAAATAGGAATCGTTAGGACCACTTGCCTGTACTGTAGATTTTTTCTTTCATAGAAAACTCTTCTGCTTTAGATTTATTTCAATTTCAGAATTATAAATTGGAATTTGGCGTTAAATCCGTTCAATATATTGTAATGTAAAACATTGAATATTAAGCTAGATTTTGCTTATGGTCAGGCAGTATTTTTGTATCTTGAATTGCAGCAACAAAATATTTGGAAAATGGAAGCACTACTAGCAACGGAGTTAAGAAATGCGAAACACTATTTTTATATCAGGACATTATTTATATAAATATTTGATTATCCAGGAATTTATTCACAACCATTCTAATTTTAATGATCGCAAGGCTGTATTTATTACGTAAATCAAAAGAAACCTCCTAAAAATATTAATTTCAATTACAGTCCTCACGGTTAAAAAAGGTTATACTTTTAATATGTTATATAAGTTAATATTCAAATATCAGTAGGTAAAATATTTCTCGTTTTATTATAGTAAGTAATAATCAAAATATATGACGGCATACAAAAGTCTTCGTTTTTAGTAAAACGTCCTTGTCAAGTGCAGTAAGATGCACTTTATGTTCTGGTGCGTTTAAGCAGCAGCACATAGCCGCTTTGCTCTTGCATCACCTGTAAGGAGAACATGGTCTCCTCCTTGATATGCTGCAGAACATCGTTACTCAATTGAACATGAATGGACTGCGGTCCCTCCATATATATATCACGCACTTGGTCCTGAGACACTCCTGTCACAGAACATAACTTCTTCAGCAACTCAATGTTGCTGTGTGAAGAGAGAAAGATGGCATGAAACACTGAAGAGTTTTCACGGCGGACATATATTTTCAACTTGGGCGCAATCGCTCTGAAAATGTCAAAAGTATTAAATTTCTCAATAAGAACAGATTGAAAAAAAAAACAATAATATGTAAAATAATTAGATATAAAATAGGAAAAATAATTTCCACTTACTTTAAATGTAAAGCGTTGTGCAACCTTATTCCATCGGCATCACCACAAATCTGTATCAAATCATCTCGTGACATACGTAGCATGTCATCTCCAGAAAACCTTGCAAAAGTTTGACTGTACTTTTCAAATCTGTTCATCGAAAGCCACTGAACAGTCTCTTCGGGAGAAGACTGTTGGGTCAGATGAGTATTATTACTATTATTACTGCTGCTAATTAAAACCTGGAAAATTTATACCTACATGAAAATTAATATTATAACTACATAACTATGTCGTCCAAAATATACATATGCAGTAATGGCTAGGGAACATTCAAATATAAGACACCTTGTTTACCAAAGATCAATTTTGTTTTTTAAAGGCTTATAATTTTAGTAAACTAAACATGTTTACCACCTACCTACCCCCCTCATAATAACATCATATTATTTTTTATGGCAACCATAATTTTTTTTTACTAATTATGACCATCCTTGACATTCTACGTACGGCAAATATCTAGTTACTTACATATTATTTTGATATTTTCGTTCCTATCAAAAAAATTATATGATGATGTCACTGTGAAGGGAGGAGGTGAGTAGTAAAAGTTTTGTATTACAGAAAATCATGAGTTAAAAAAAACAAACAAACTGTACCAGCGTATTGAGATTAAGTAAACAGGAAAGTTTATAATTTGAAAGATCCACAGCCGTTGTTCACACTGTATATATCTTTCACGCTTTTTAAAATTTTCTTAAACTGTAATTTTTAGATAATCAGACATAAATTAAATTTGTCAAAAATTTAAATAAAATGTTTCTCTTAATTTCAGTGTAATAAAATTTATAATATGTCAAATATCATTGAATTGAATTGAATTGAATTGGGACAATAATAATAGATACAAAAAAATTGAAATAATCAGTATTGTTTTTTTTTTTTCATCCCACTAGGCATATTATTTGCAGGTTTGTAAAAAATTATATAATACACATAAGCATATGATATTTTTAAAAATTTCAATAATTAACAATCAAATGTTTGCAAGAAACTTGAAATTTTTTCTCTCATCTATAATTTTACATACCTATCAATTTAGAAAAATATTTGTATGTAAAAGTTTAAAATTATATATATTGAGGACAATAATTAAGTTTTATATTAATATTCGTGCGATATATGTCAACTATTTTCATTGGTGATAATAAAATGGAAATTAAGTACCTATTAATTTATATTATTTAAAGAATTGTACCTAGTCGAGTTAAATAAAAAAAAATGATTTTTTATTGCATATTCATTCTTCGAGTAATTTATCTCAAGAATACTTCCACAAACTTTCATAAGGATTGAGGCGTTCATTCAAAATTTATAGGCAATTAGATGGTTACGTCCAATGAGTAAATTAAAAAAAATAATTCTAAATGCAAAAATCATACTTGAAACTTTAAACCCCATTGCTGTAGCCGCAATTTCTTAAAAACTATTAATCAAACAGTTCATTTCAAATTGTGTGTACCTACTTTCTAATATGTACTTTTCAGTATCATTAAAAGCTTTTCAATAAATATTTATTACTTAAACCAACATAAAAAAATTCATGAAAGTGTCATATTTTCCGATCCTAACTAGCTAAAACCCCTTAATGTGTTATACAGGGTGTATCTAAATAACACCGAAAAAATTCAAGGGGCGATTCTCCGATGAAAATTAATAGGGGTCTTTGGTATAAAATTTTTTGAAAAAACCCTTCCCTGAAAAGTTACGCCCCTCCTAAAATTACAAAAAAAAATTGTTTTTCTTTTTTATCTTCCACGTACATCAAGCTAAAGAAACCAAACTTGGTGAACATTATCTGTCAATAAAACTACACTTTTTGAATTTTTTTCAACCCTGAACTATTTTTGTAAGGGGTTGAAATAATCAACCCCTATGACATTTTTTCTTATAATTTTTTTTTCGATAAAATTTTTTCCTTTTAAAAAATATGTCTAAAAAACCCCATTCATTTACTAACTTTTTGATCTCTTCAAGTTTCTTCGAAAAGTTAAGGATTTATGACAAAAAAAAATAAATGTATTGTAATGTATTTTTAAAAAGATGAGCTGTTTAACGCGAGTGTATTTTGCCGAAAGATCTAGTGGCCTGTTCTTTACAATGGAATCCGTAGAAACAAATGTCAATGTCATTTATTGTTACTGTTTCTTACTATTTCACAAGTTTCATGATTTTGTGTAGAAAATATTAGTTAATAAACCGAAAATATGGTTAACTATTCGAATTTAGAAATGGCAGATATGCATTTTACATATGGGTATGCTAACGGTAATGCATTGGAAGCGCAAAGACTTTATGCTGAACAGTACCCAGAGCGTAGATTACCCCACCATACTACGTTCACAAATATTCACCAACGCTTGCGGGAACTTGGAAAATTTGAAAAGAGAAGTCATGACTGTGGCCGTAGCCGAGAAGTTAGAACTGAAGCTGTCGATGAAGCCGTACTTAATTTAATTGAGGAATCCCCAGAAACTAGTACCAGGAAAATAGCTCGTGTCCTAAATGTAAGCCATTCGGTAGTTTTTAGAATTTTAAAAGAACAACAGTTATATCCCTATCATCTCCAACGGGTGCAGTCGTTACTGATTCGAGATTTTTTACCACGTGTGGTTTTTTGTCAATGGCTTATTAATATGATCGGCCAAGCGCCGCAGTTCTTAAGAAATATTTTATTTACTGACGAGGCGAATTTCTCAAGAGACTGTATTAGAAATTTTCGTAACAATCATATTTGGGCTGAGGAAAATCCTCATGACTTTTTTGAAGGAAATCATCAGTATCAATTTTCATTAAATGTGTGGCTCGGAATTATCGACGATCATTTAATTGGTCCCTATTTTCTTCCACGACGATTAGATGGTGACTCATATTGTCATCTTCTCGAAGAATTACCTATTATTCTTGAAGAAGTTCCCATTCAAATTAGGCAACGTTTATGGTTTATGCACGACGGTGCACCAGCCCACTTTAGTATACGTGCAAGACGTCACTTGGATGAGGTGTATGCCAATCGATGGATAGGTCGAGGAGGATATGTAAATTGGCCAGCCCGCTCCCCTGACCTTAATCCTTTGGATTTTTGCATATGGGGATATCTGAAATCTTTGATCTACTCAAGGCCAGTTGAAGATATCAATGATTTGCGAAACCGCATTGTAGCAGGGTGTGAAACGATAAAAAATTCACCAGGAATATTTGAACGCATACGCAATTCTATGAGAACAAGAGTAGATGCTTGTATTGAAGCTGAAGGCAATCATTTTCAACATTTTTTGTAGATTGTATTGTCAATATCCGACAGATTTTTATTTTTTGTTACTGTTATAACATTATTCATCATTTGTTCACTTTTAGTCTAAGTTCCAAACTTCTTAGCCTAGTAGAATCATAGGTCAACTATTTGGTTGAGTGTTTTTTAATAAAATGTTATTTAATATGACAATAAATGACATTGACATTTGTTTCTACGGATTCCATTGTAAAGAACAGGCCACTAGATCTTTCGGCAAAATACACTCGCGTTAAACAGCTCATCTTTTTAAAAATACATTACAATACATTTATTTTTTTTTGTCATAAATCCTTAACTTTTCGAAGAAACTTGAAGAGATCAAAAAGTTAGTAAATGAATGGGGTTTTTTAGACATATTTTTTAAAAGGAAAAAATTTTATCGAAAAAAAAATTATAAGAAAAAATGTCATAGGGGTTGATTATTTCAACCCCTTACAAAAATAGTTCAGGGTTGAAAAAAATTCAAAAAGTGTAGTTTTATTGACAGATAATGTTCACCAAGTTTGGTTTCTTTAGCTTGATGTACGTGGAAGATAAAAAAGAAAAACAATTTTTTTTTGTAATTTTAGGAGGGGCGTAACTTTTCAGGGGAGGGTTTTTTCAAAAAATTTTATACCAAAGACCCCTATTAATTTTCATCGGAGAATCGCCCCTTGAATTTTTTCGGTGTTATTTAGATACACCCTGTATAAATAGACATGCATTAAATATCAAACTTACAGTAGAAACGGGACTTTCCTTTTTATCTGTATCAGTGGGAACAGTATTAGGAATGGATTTCTGAGGATTTACACCATTTGTTGGAGGTGGTCCAACTGGATTATCTACTCGTACAACTACTTGATTCCTTTGTCCTTGTGGACTGCTGAAACAGATGTATCATCAGTATATATGCCTAAATGTTATGTTACCGTAACTTAAGTTAGATTTTTTCTTATAATTAGGGTAGAAATAAAGAATGTGTAAAAGTACATAGATCTCACAATGACTTCAAAAGCTCACTTCGTTCACACAAAATTCTAATATTTAGTACTTTCCTATATTTTGCATTTCTAAAATGGACTGTGACATTTATCCGAGCATTTATCTAATTAAAATAATTTTAAAAACGATTTATTCTACTGATTATATACATATACAGAAAAAATAAGTAGATAAGCATTTCTCACACAGGACTTTGATTTTTTGTATTAAAGGACTTAATTACTGTTGATAGTGGTCACTTGGTTATTCATTCTCTAGCTCACTAAGGGAAAAAAAATAATGAAAATAAACCATATTTAAAATAAATAAAAAATTTAAGACATTTGAATTTAGTAGTCCAATGGTACATACATCTATTGATAAGTACCTAAAAAATATAATAAAATAAATTCAATAATGCATTCTTATTTGTCTGAACTGTGATCCCTGATTGGTTATACAGATCCAAGGTATCAAATAAGTAATTGGTGCATACCCTTTTTCAAAGAGTAAAAGAAAAATAATATGTAGGTAATGAACGAACATGTGAACTATATATTTTAAGTACAACCTGATCTTTTTCATATGCTTTTCAAAATTGTGTGTTCTTTATCGAACTTGTGCGCATTTTCTATATACAGGAAGATTCAAGAGGAAATGTCAATATTTTAGGTATATATTCAGACACACAATATAAACAAAAAGTTCCTATAAACATGGGTCCTATTATCAGCCGTTACATAGCAGGGGTAAACAATAATCAATTTAAGATTTTTATTAAATTATTTATGATATAGGTAGGCCACCAGTTACTTCTAAACACAAGTCAGCTATGTCATGAATACTTGGGTTGTTCTATGAATGGATGCAGGTTTGTTTCTTATAGTTGCTACCCGAGTTTATTATTGAATTGAATAATATATCTCTAGTGTTTATTTCTCTTGAATATACCAATTAATGATTTAGACCACCCCCCCAGAGATTATAATCCAGAGAGATTGGCGATCTAGCTGGCCAATTATGTGAACCACCTCGACCAATCCACCGGTTTGAAAAGTTGTTATCTAATAAATTTTGTACTTATAAACTGTAGTGTACAGGGACTATTTTCTAATAGGTTTGCGAGTGATTCTTTACTTGTCCTGTAAGATGACCTTCGAATATGAATGGACCGATTAATTGACACCACACCACACATTAATGTTGAAAATTATGTTTTACCGTAGCGTGAGGATTTTCATAGGACCATCGTTGTTCATTGTGAAGATTATTAATGCCATCACGAGTGAACTGTGCTTCATCACTGAACAGAACATACTTATACAGTCTTCGATTTGCACTAATACAATTACAGAATTGCATCATGCAAATGTTGAACTCGTAAGTGAAATGGGTATAACCAATTAACGTGAAGATACCTCCAAGCAGACGACTGTAATTTGATAAGTAGCTGCAATTTGCCTTATACTTATGCTTGGATCACTTTCGAAGGGATTAAGAATAGCCTCTTCTAGTTCAACATCAAGTTCCGATTCCTGTTCTTATACGATTGTTGCAGTTGGAAACATACCAGATTCTCCAATAGTAAAAACACAGCCATTATTAAGCTGTGGTAAAAACTTGTGGAAAAACCCTTCTATCTGCCACTTTCCTATTCGGAGAGACGCTGGTACTCGGTGACTGCAAGATTTGAGCTCCCATTACAGAAGTCATAAACGAATACCATATCAGCATATTCACGATGAGGGAATGTCGCAGCCATAATGAAAAGAATCTAATATTTCTCAAAGAATTGTCAGACAATACAAATCTTATTTTTATTAACCTCTAATGGGGTTATTATTGCTAAGCAACAGTAAAAAGGCGGCATTTTGAAAACTATCGAATCTAGTACCTGTTATAAATCAATAAAAATCTTAAATTGAATATTGTTTAACCCTGTTATGTAACAGCTGAGAATAGGGTCCATGTTTATAGTAACTATTATGTTTATTTTGGGTCCCCGAAATCCCTGAATACATACCTAAAATATTGACATTTCCTCCTGAATCACCCTGTATTAAAAAAAATTGTAAACTACCACAAAACACAAAAAACAATACAAGTAAGTACGTGGCATATAGTGGCAGTAAGTACTAACACCAACTTTTTAATTTTATTATTTATTAGGTTTGTTCCAGCAGGGTGTCAGAAATGTTGCAAACAATACGAGGCATGCGCAGTAATACTTTGCTGTTCCAGCAAGGTAAAGTTGGTGACATTGTGCAAGTGTTTGCTGTTCCAGGAGACGTTTGTATTGGTTTCTAACTTGTTGGTGTTTACTTGATTTGCTTGCGAACTTTTACCAAACATTTCGACATTAACCTAACTTTCCTAATTCCAAACTTCTGTTTCTGTTTAGGTAACTTTTATCAAAATTTAGTAAAATGAATATTATGGAAAACAACTTCGATAAATCATCGGAAAGTGATTATTATGTGGATACAGACGATGATGATATGGAATTAGAACTTGAATTGATGGAAGATCGGCAACGCCCAAAAAATAAGAATTACATTAATGAAACTGTGGAGAACTTTAGCGAGACCGAATTTATAGAACATTTTAGATTAAGTAAACATATCGCAAATATAATTGCACAACAATTTGAAGAAAGTGATTTATTTAACCATCAGTCAGGAGGTAATGACAAAATAAGTGCAAAATACCAAGTCCTTATATTTCTGTGGTTTGCTGGACAGGTTTGATATATCAATAAGTAGTTTGTTTAGGATAATACGAAGACTCATTTATTTTCTAAGCAATTTAGCTCCACAGATAATAATGTGGCCAAATGCAGAGGAGAAACAGCAAATTGAAAGATTTTTTCGGAACAAAAACTTTCCTGGTGTAGTAGGCACCATTGATGGATCGCATATCCGAATAGACAAACCGGAGCATGATCCAGATTCATATTACAACAGAAAAAAATTTTTTTCGATTCAGGTAAGAATCACCTATTTTCTAGTGGAAATTTTTAGAACGGACAAGCATAGAAATTTTTAACTCTTATACGCTCACGTTCACATTTTTTAAGCTCCAATTTATTTGCCAACGAAAAGTAAATAATTTTTTTGAATAAAATATAATTTATAACTTTTGATTCCAGTTGCAAGTTGTATGTGATCATCAAAAGAAAATTAGAAGCCTTTTTATCGGTTTCCCAGGGTCAGTACATGATGCAAGGGTGTTCAGGACGTCTCCTCTTTCCCAACAACTTCCTAATAAATGTGGAGATCATTTTATATTGGGAGATAGTGCCTATAGCTGTTCCCGACATTTAATAACACCCTTCAAAAATCAAGGCAATTTAACTCACCGACAACGGTTGTTTAATCAAAGGTTGTCAAGTTGTCGATATGTGATTGAACACTGTTTCGGATTATTGAAGCAGAAGTTTAGACAGCTTTACCATTGTAAATTAAGAAATATAAATGATACTGTCAATTTTATACGGGCATGTTGTGTGCTCCATAACTTGTCAATAGACGATGAATTTGATGAAAATATGGAAGAAAATCAAAATGAACCCGAGTTGAATAGAATTGACCCCGACGTTATTGACGAAGATATAGAAAGAGATATCCCAGAAGGAACAGCATTTAGAAATTACCTACTTCAAACATTAAGATTGTAAACACATTAATTTCTGTTTTATATTTGTACATTTATTAAATATATTTAGTAGTTTTTTTTTTACAATTTGATTATCTTTTATGTTCTATAATGTAAGACTTTCTGCATATATTTTCTTTTTGATATTTTGTTAAATTCTATAACTATGCAAACTGCTTTTAGAAAGTAGTTGACATTTTTTAAAGATAATGGAGAAAATTATTTTAAATGAGTTAAATTAAAAAATAAATAATTTATAACTATATTTATTTATTTGGGAACAGTAGTGTAGTACTGCAGTGAAAATGAGAAACTAATGTTTAAAATCTTTAATAACCAAACATCGTTGCACAGAACAAGCAAAAAATAAATATTACAAACTTAAGTATTTTTTGAAAATAATATATCTAAATACTGTTTAAAAATTTTATTTTGCTCTTCCTGTATCTCATTATTTCTTCTACGCTCCATTAATTTCTCTTTTTCTATTATTAATCTTTCCTCTACTTTTTTCATACGCTCTTCATGTTGCTTTTGCCTATCTAACCTAATTTTTTCCAGAATCTCATTTCTTGGTAAAACTCTTCGTTTTTTGATATATACTTTATTGGTTTCTATCTTTTCTCTTGACAATGTTTTAGAACACGTAGGTGTTTCTAAAACACTTCCTTCATTTTCATCATTACTTTCTTTTGCGAGACCACTATTACTAGGTCTACTTACATTTTTCGGTACACTTGCAATAGTGTCTTCGCTTAATAGAACTTCAGGATTTATGTTTTTTTCTTCTGAAATATTGCATCCATGTCTTGCTGGAATTCAAACATTTTTCTAGCTCGACCAGTTTTGTTATTATTATCTATGATTGCTTTGTATGCTCTTAATAGAGTTCTCCATTTGTTTTCCACTTGTGACGGCGTTAACTTTAAATTAAATTCTCTATTTAAAATGTTTGACAAAATCTCCCATAATTGTCTTTGTTTCCTTATTTTAACTCCAATTTGTGAGTGATGTTCTTGGTATAGAGATATCAGTCTTTTTGATACATTTCTCGGCCAAGATGTGTAGGATTGTATCCAGGACTCCGTTTCATCACTGTTAGATATAATAATGTATTCCTGCACCTCTGAAATTAAATAATACACAGGTAGACATCTTTTTATAGTCTTCACCCAGTAGGTTATTAACCAATGTTAAATACAGTAATGCCTAGATTTTACATGTGAGCTTACCTTGTAAAACGTTGTC